TCACTCTACGCGTTACCGACATTTCGCGAAAACAACTGACGAAAGTTCGCGTGATTTGGAGATCGGTCGGGAAAACGAGAAAAGCGTATATAAATGAAAGAGTTTGACTAGCGTACCAGAAAAGAGGAGTTCGAGTGGTATGTACACATACATATACTGTATCGAGGAGTGTCCGTTGAAACTTGAACTGTGCAACTCTCTCTAGTCGGTCTGCCCACATAATTTCGATCGACGCGATGAAAAGTAGACGCTTTTCTGAACGTAAGTTTCTCCCTGTTGTTGGATCTGTTTCACAGTATCGATGCAAAAGCGATCAAAATGTGTACCGATTAATTTTTCGAGCGATACTCGTTAAAAAGGGGGAGGGGATGGGGAAGCGAGTAATTAATAACCAGGATCTTCCATTGTGGTAAAATATTCCGAAATGCTCGTAGAAAAGTATTTCATTCGTGTGTGTAGTGATATGACGAATAAAGGAACGGAGGATAAAAAGAGAAAAAATCCAAAGTATTTATCTTGTCAACGAATCATAATTTCTCTCATTTTCTTGCTGTTTTTTTTTGCGCGTACTATTGGAAAAAGAAAGTAGACGAAGAAACAAAGTTTGTCGGTATAGTCACCTGTATTTAGAAGTAAAAGTTAGAAGTATCTGGCGAGAAGCTGCAATAGAATTGAGATTTTTACGTTGATCATACTCTTTACTGGCTTGCATATATTTTGAAACCATTAGACGAAAGTGATCTCTTCCCCTGGCTCCCGAAAAAGGGTGTAAAGTGTAGAGCTTCCCGCGATATAATCGCGTCTCTATCTTTCTCTCTTTCTAGTTTGCTTGCTATTATACCTATTACGGCATGCTTCCGTCGTAGATATTATTTTAGAAGAGGCCCATCACATACATACTTCAACTGATCATCGATCATCGAACCATGCGATTCGAGTATCTCGTAATTGCCTACAAACCCTCTCAGCCAAGTCAAGTCTCTTTATCTTTCATACAACATTGTAACTACGAGCGAGAAGAAATTGGAGAGATATCGGTAGATTGTTTCCTTTGGGCATTACAACTCTCAACACCTACGTGTTGTGGCGTAATTGTTTGACTTCTTTCAGTTACGTTTATCTATTCATACTACATAATACTTGTTATTTCATATGTGTGACAGTTATACTGTTACATTGACTGCTTACATCCATTCGTGAACCATAGTTACGATAAAACGCCATTTTTCCGATACGTTTCGAACGCGACACAATTTTGGACGAAGATCTTCACTCGACGCATCTAGCATTTAGATTTTAAATTGGCATTTTAGTGAAAGAGTGCGTCATTCATACACATGTACACATGCACAAGCATATATAAAACACCGAAGCATACACACATCAGGAAACACGATGAACAAACTTATAGAAAGGTCGGATCTGCGAGAGCGAGACCGAGCTTCTTTCTTTATTCTTTTTTTTGAATCGAATTCGTCGTTTCTTAGCGCTAATTTTGCGAATTTACACACTTTTGAACTGCCTCCAAGTTTCTTCGAACCAAGTTTCCACTCGTTGGTAGTCCGGTACTCGCGAACACGAAAAGGATGAAAAAGACGAGTGACGGTTTTTTGGTTAAGAACAATTAAAAACAATCAGTAGGTCGGTTGGAAGAAGCTTGATAGGCAAAATCGATCGCGCGATTATTTCTAATCGATATCTTTTCTAATCCCTCGGCGATCAGAATTTCTTCAGAGACGCCTGGAACCTGTTTGACTTCATCACAGTGATCGGAAGTATCGTGGATGCCCTTGTGATCGAGTTCGGGGTATGTAGAGCTTCGGCAAAGATCGCCTTCATTTTAAAATCGTTGAGTCGAGTAAATGTTCAGAGTGACGTAGTTTTACAGAAAGGAGAAGTAGAATATTCAGACGTTTAATTATTTATCTAACGAGAAACCTCTCGATGACACCTTTGACTCCCGTTTTCTCTTAATTGTGTCTAAACCCAAGTAATTGCTTGACTGTACATTATCGAGTGTTGTCTTTCCTTTAACCCTTTTGCTGCTTCTTTAGTTTCAGCAGAGTGTACAAACATAAAATGCTAGCAGGTAAAGTCAACGATTTTTATTCGAGTCCCTACAATGTCACGTATTTATATTTGCGTAGCTTTATGCTGCATTCATACGCTACACACTCACACTGTACATTATCACACTTGTACGTTACACAGCCACCACGATATACGTATATATCCAGTTACACATGTACGTTACAATGTCAGAACAATCTCACGAAAGGAAATGCTTTCGAAGAGAAATTATTATTTGCAATAACGAGATCGACAGGAAAGTGAAAGAATTCTTTAGACATGTCGAAAGCATGAAACTGAAAGCGCGAGCCTTTCCCTTCAAAGGATTTTTTTCTCGTTCACTCCGTACAGAAGAAACGACATTCTTTTGGACAATCAACATAAATACAGCACTACCCATCAAATATTTCTTTACTCCTATATATATAGTAGAAGTATATTTATTAACCCGAAGTAACATCGTGCTACACTTCCACAAGCCGTAATTGTAATCCAGTAAAAGCGACAAATTTATATATATATATATATACATACATATACATAGTATCGATGCCACATCGAGACTGTCGAATCGAGATCTCCCTTAAATGCTTGCACTCCTAGTAGGTTTGCTGAATCGGCAAAAATTAACATGATTTTTTGGCTGAAACTTACTTTTAGAGATCAAGGTAAGCCAAGCCACACCTTTTTCTATCAAGCTTCGCGTAAACATGACAGTTGTTACAAATCTTATTATCAACCGCCGCCAGACTAAGCTTCGTTTACACGTGTATGTAAATCTCCGCTAGTTTTGTTACGTACTCGCATATTAAGAGATCAGCGTGCATATATAATGTCCGATCGATCCAATAATTTTGCAATATCGTGTATTTTTGTACTAGGAGCGGTTTTCGAGTATGCCCAGTGGCGGCCAACTAGGCGAAAAAAAGGTATAAGTTCCGTCACATTTACGCCCACAGATGTAAGTTGTCGCATCGGTTATACAGATTACGTAATCGTCACGCCGATTACACGGAAATAATCGGATATATAAATATTTATATTATGTCTCTTTGTCATCCCAATGAACGAACAATCACGTTGTTCGTTACATACACGTTCGAATTTTCACTCATATAACGTATAAACATTCTCCGCATATTTTTTACTACTACTGCACACGATATATACTTTTTACGCGAATACACAAAGCAGCAGCACACGAGAAACAAACCAACCTCGAATGGCATATGGATGCGGTATTTAACGCGCGAATAAAATTTTCACGCTGTTCATGCCGTGCTCGCTTGATGCTTGGCTACAGCAAATGGGTTTAACGGACGACATACCGAACATCAGTGATTCTAACGCTTTGGAAAATCGAAACGTTGCCGCGTTGAAATCACATTTCAGTTATAACGTTCAGATATACAATGTTTCAATCGCGCAATATACGTCGAGACGAGGGAACCACCATAGAATTCCTGCAGATTCTTCCGTAGCTTCGTTCGTGCATCGGAACGATGTCGAAGGCCAGCATTCGAACAATGTTTAAACGAGTTTGAAGCAGGTTCGCAACATCGTGACGCTACACACGCGAAGCCTTGCCCGTATCGTGATAAGGAGCCGGCATTTTTGGAGATTAAGTGCAATTTCCTCTGTCCCCTGCAGGAGAACTTTATTAACGTCGGCTTCCTAAGACTGTTCCGTGCCGCCAGGCTGATCAAGCTACTCAGACAAGGCTATACGATTCGAATTTTACTCTGGACCTTTGTACAATCCTTCAAAGTAAGTGAATCGCGTTATGTCTCGTAAGCTCGATGACGGAGTCTAATTCGAACGTAATTCATTGCAGGCTTTGCCGTACGTTTGTCTCCTCATAGCGATGTTGTTCTTCATCTATGCAATCATCGGTATGCAGGTATGTATTTTTCCATCGGAAGAATTATTTCCACGTTTGTTACACACACTCGGGATTATTATTTTTTCCCTTCAATTCCGTCTGAACAATTATCACGTAGGGCACGATTGTCGAGTCGTACTCGAGAATTTCCAATGCGCGACGAGTTGAAAAGTACGTCGACATTGGAGTCAGCTCGGTCGGGGTATAGGTCAAGTGATAGCTATTTGCAGGAGTGAAATGTTAAACCGATATTCGTGTGTGGAACCATTAGTGATCATGAAATTCCGTTGTCAGGTCTTTGGAAATATAACGAACGATCCAGGAACAGCGATAGATGATCACAACAACTTTCAGTCCTTCTTCGCTGGTCTTATGTTGCTTTTTCGGTGAGTCGAGCAGCTAAACGAAGCAAGTTCGAAGTTGGGCTAAAGTGAACTTTTGTCGACGAGAAAGCTACCGATCCGTCACGCGATTTCATTTCCCTCGAATAATAATAATCGTATTTCGTATATCCTTCAATGAACAGCGTACAAAAGTAGCATAAAGCGAATGGGAAAAGCAAAAGACACGAACGATCGGTAGCGACTGACCATTATGGTAGAGTACTGGGCGGTTAGCATGAGGTTTAACAAAAGTAAGCTGCTCGACGTGTCAATCTCTGTTGTAATCGAACCCTGCAATTAGACGTCCCCTAGACAGTTATTCCATAGAAATGCTTGCCCTAGATTATTCAAGTTAGTCATGTTATTCGAGCGATGCTCGAGAGAGAGAAAGTCTGGATAGTAGAATTTTCTTTAAAAAAAAAAAAAAAATCGATAAAATTTCTCTCTCTCTCTCTCGAGGAACTCGCGTGTCAAGACAAAAGAGAGAGTTAGAAAGATCGTAGATCGTAATTAATATGGTGGATGCGTATTATTAGAGAGTAGATCGACACTATATCACTAGGTACACTGTTATTTGTTATTTAAACTCGTTCTAGAGACTAAAAATCATGTACAATCACCCAGCGAAAACCAAACGACGAACAAGTTGTCAGGTTTCGCGATGCGTTAAAATTAAATCGAATCGAATTGATCTAATGGGGGGGG